AGTGGATGTCGCACATATTTGATATTTTATTGAAATTTGCACACTCTTTGTCTTTGTCTTTTAAAATAAGAAATTTTTCCACGCTTGAACTAAGAATTCGTTACACAACTTATTGAACAAATCACCGTTATGTACTGAAGGCGAACCACCAAATTTCAGGTAGGTATATCAATTCTACACGGACCGCCAACTGTACGATAGCAGTGTTATTGATCAACCCTCCGATCAATAACGCGGCTCTCCCCCTACTAAGGTTACGCCGGAATTTTCCCTGAACAAGTATAAATAGGGACCCCAAAACCACAAGATTCATTTTTTCTGAGATTCCGGTGTTGAGTTCTCCCACGCTCCTACTTTAGGACGTGAGCGAAGCCCTCACCTTAACGCAGAATCCATCGTCGCCGCCAATCGTTGAGTTCTCCCACGTTCCTACGTTAGGACGTGAGCGAAGCCTTCGCCATCGCCTACAAGCCAACACCACGTGTCTAGCGTTGAGTTCTCCCACGTTGCTACGTGAGTGAAGCCCTCGCTAACGGACTTAGTGTTTGTGTATGTATATACTATATATTCGTTCATTGTACATATTGCGTTCCTGTTATTGACTTGTATATTTTGTTGTCTTTTTTTTGTGTTGTATTATATTATTTGCTCTGTAAACATTATTCAGTGCAAGTGTGTGTGAGTTCCCCGTGTCCGTGCGCGCGTGCGTCCGGGTAACAGCAGAGTTTCAGTAGATATTTGTATTAATGCTCTCTAATAAATTAACAAAACTACCATTGTATTTACAACTATACACCTAAAATAGCGGCAAAATATTTCAACAACTCAGTAAACATCTTGCACGGCTAATAACTTAAAAAAAATATATCTACTAAAATAATAAAAATAATAAGAACTCACCGGCTGATAAACTATAACTAATAAAAACACCTACACTCACAGATAAGATACTACTAATAAAACACGCAAACGGATACGGCTAATCACAACGAATGATCGAATTGGAATGAGAGCAATATGAATAATGCGCCTTTATAATATGTTATGCACGTACCGCCGACCCCGACATTAATTAAATCATGTAACTTACTCAATTTTTCTTCAAACGAAATGGTTGTTAAATTTTCCAATTTATTTTCTAGGTCACTTCATTGATTGATCATTGATGTTCTCCATTATAATTGTAACTTCTACACATTTTCCTTAAACGGTATATATACTTTCCTGCTGCGTAGGATGTCCTGCTGATTAGGATATCCTGTTTACAACAGCGGATGTTGGTTTCCTGCTGATTAGAATTTACTGGATGTTAGTTTCCTGTTAACGACCGGACCCTGTTTCCTGCTGATGATCGGGCGCTGCTTCGTGTTAACGACCGGACGCTGTTTCCTGCTGATTAGAATTTACCGGATGCTGCTTCCGGTTCCCGCCATTTACGGTTTCCTGCTGCTGATTAGAATTTACCGGATGTAAGTTTCCTGTTGACATGAACGGATGCAATTTTCCACTTCGTCATTTATGCATCCTGTTCCCGCCATTTATACTTCCTGCTGATTAGGATGTTTCTAGGAGGGGTGTTTAATATATAAAAGTGAGTATGCGTATGTATATGCATATACAGATTGACATCGAACATCATAACAATGAGTGCTGATTTGGCGAAAATTAACGGTAGCTGAAATGTAGTGGAAAAAACCATCATTAAACTTGGAGATATGGAAGTGGGTAAAATTTATGAAATCGAACGAGTGAAAGCGATAATCAGTTCCTATGGACGTGGAATAGTGTGCGAAATTGTCGACAATAATTCTATTTTCCTTCCTCAGCGCATCGTGCGAGAAATGATCGATCGATTAATTAATCAAGTAAAGCTGAGAGTGGTGATGAATGTACTATCTACAAATAATACATTGAAATTAGTAGAAATAAAATAATTAAACGATCAAACGAACTTACCTGTGAAGTTCGATCGTGATTATATCGATCGTCCAGTCCAAAGATGTTACAGAATGTTTAACTATGTAGTTCGCGATCCTCGCGCTACACGCACAATATTTTAAAGGTCAAACGCCCCTCTCCGCGTCACGCTGCAGTCAGGCCACCTCGATTAAATACCTCATTTAGTTCCCAAGAAAACGTTGAGTGTTGTTTCCAAAATTTACAAAGGGGCGGGAGGGCAGGGTCTGTAACATCTTTGGACTGGACGATCGATATAATCACGATCGAACTTCACAGGTAAGTTCGTTTGATCGTTTAATTATATCTTACGTCCAGTCCAAAGATGTTACAGAATGTTTAACTATGTAGATGTTTAAAGATTTACTCCGAACTGTTTGTAAATTTTCATCTACAATAGAAATAACATTTAACGGCTTAACGCTTTATCCGATATGAATGAAATAAAACTTGAAAAAAAAAAAACGAAATACTCTTGAAAGAGTTTATACCAGAAGGTCAAGCTAACACGACGCGAGCAAATTCTCCCTTCTTGACCAATGGCCGATTGTAAAAGGTGGCAAACGTTGTTGATTTCTCGCTCCAACCAGCCGCGGTTCGAATAATATCTAATGATAGCCCGCGCCTGCAGGCGGCCGAAGTTGAAGCGTGGCGGGTTGAGTGTGGCTTGAAAATAGTTGTGTCGATGCCTGCTGATGTTAAAGTTTCCTTCACCCAACGACTCAAAGTTTCCTTGCTTGCCGAGCGATGGGGTTTAGTAAGGGTGAGGAGCAGATTGTCGTTTGTACGTCGCAACTCCTGAGTTACTTCCATATATTTTCTTAAGGTCGACACGACGCACAATTGTGGTTTTTCTTCGAAGATTGGAATTTCCAGACATGGTTGTCGCCTATTTACACCGGTTGTTTTTACCTGATCAGGAATAAAAATCTGGAGTCCTCCATCGTGGGTTTTTATTTCCGATAATTTAATCAAAGAGATTGTTTGTAGCCGTTGACCTGTTGCTAGAGTCAGTAGGGTAACCAATTTGTGTGAGAGATGTTTTAAGGAGTCTCCGGGACTGTTCTCAAGGTAGTCTAGTACCTGTGTTGGATCCCACGTGAAATCATATCGGGGTTTGGGAGGTCTCGCTCGTGCGATGCCCTTCATGAACCTTTTGAATAAGGAGTCTTCTCCTATATTGCCAGGTAATATCAAGGAGAGTGCCGCTCGATGGGAATTGAAAGAACCATATTTGTTGTCACTTTGGTCTAGCAAGTTTTGAAAAAAGGTAATGACTTGCCCTTTGTCTGCTTTAAAGGGGTCGATGTCGTGTTGATCGCAGAATGTCCACCAAAGCTTATATGTAGACCCATATTGTTTAATAGTAGCTTCAGTTAGGGATCGCACTGTTGTAGTGATAGCACACTCTGGGACACCTTTCGCTATCAATGCTTCCCGGATAACTTGCAGGCCACCAAGGTAAGGCTGTTTGCGAGGGGATGACGATTCCGGCTGTAAGGGGAGATCATTAGTTGGTTGCTGGGTTCAAAATAAATAGGTTCTGCGACTAAAAGTTTTATGAGAAGCGGATACCAAGCTTGTGACGGCCAGAAAGGGGCTACTAGGATACCTTCAGCCTTATCCTTTATTATTTTTTGCAACACTCGAAGAATAAGAGAGAATGGAGGAAAAGCATAAAACAGCATGTTTCCCCAAAAGACAGTAAAGGCATCGGATGCGATTGCCCCAGGGTCTCTCAGCCAAGAGATGTAATTAGGGGATTTGTGGTTATCTTTAGACGCAAAAAGATCTAATTCAGGATAACCGTACGCATTACAAATTTGTTCAAAAGCAAAGTTTGCCAGCGACCATTCCGTTTCCGAATGAATGGTACGAGACTCCCTATCTGCTAACCAATTTTCTTTGGTGTTTATGTACGCCGCATGAATCCAGATGTTCCTGGATTCACACCACTGCCACATTGTTTTTGTTAGGTTATTTAGTTTTTTGTGTTTTACACTGCCCATGCGATTAACGTAAGAAATGGCCGTGGTGTTGTCGGCCCTAATTAGTATGGACGTATTTTTGCGGTTTTTTGCAAAGCATTTTAAACCTAAAAAGATAGCTTGTAATTCCAGGAAATTGATATGTTCTTCCTTTTCCGACTGTGTCCACCAGCCATGGGTACGCTCTCCGCCACAGCATGCCCCCCATCCTGACAGAGAGGAATCTGTAAAGATCTCCATTTGGTAGGAATCTTGTTTTATATCATTATGGGCTCGATCTAAATTGCGTAGCCACCAAGAAAATTCATCAAGGATGGGGATATTCATTCTTGCGTTAAAGTTCAATCTGTGTTTACGAAGGGCCAAGTACTTGGCTCGCTCGAAAGATTTGGTATACAACCATCCATATTTGACGGCAGGACATGCTGAAGCCAGCGTACCAGTAAAACGGGCGAAGTCTCGAATTTCGCATGTAGTTTTGGATAGCAAGTGTTTTATCCAATTCTTAATTTTCTCTTTTTTGTCCTGCGGAAGTTCTATACGCAGGGAGTAGGAATTTAACATAAAGCCCAGAAATTTACAGCTTTTGGATGGAGTAATTACGCTTTTCTCCCTATTAATGATAAAACCTAAAGATTCCAAGAGATTGACAGTAAACTCTGTATTTTTAATGGAAATGTCGAGTGTTTCCGAGATAATTAAAAAATCATCAAGATAATTTACGCAAATAATGTTATTTTGTCTGAGGTGTTGGACCACTGGTTTCAGCAATTTTGTAAACATGTGAGGAGCTGAAGCGAGACCAAAGGGAAGACAAGTAAATTCAAATAATTGATGATTATGTATAAACCTCAAAAATTTCCTATGCGGTGTAGCAATCGACACGAGGAAATAGGCATCCTTTAGATCAATGGTAGTGAAATACCAATTCTTTTGGACAAGCTTCAGCACCGTCCGTATGTCTTCCATCTTAAAGTGAGGGGCATCGACGTGTTTGTTTAGTAGTTTCAAGTTAAGGATAAACCGTTTTTTACCGTTAGACTTGTCTGTGAGAAAAGTGCGAGAAAGAAATTGGTCCATAAGTGGTTTACACTTTACTATAGCGCCCAATTTTAATAAGTTATTTATTTCCCCGTCCATTAAAGATTGTTCTCCTGAAGATAAAGGAAAAACTTTTGGCGGTACAAATTGTACAGGTGTACTGATCAACGGTAAAGGATAACCCTTAACCCACTTAAGAATCACCTTATTCGATGTCAAAGCTTGCCACTTCTCATAAAAAAGGGATAGCCTGCCTGCTAATTTAGTACTTGCCTCGTTTAAGTTTTCCTGTTGAGATTTCCCGATCTCCTGGCGTGGAAACGCGAGGTATTGCCCTTTGGCCCTGTCTCCCTCATCTGACGGGTTGGGCGGTACCTGTTTAAAGGACTACGTCTCCGTTCCTGTACCTGTGACTGTCTGCCCCCCCCCCTCCTTTTCGTTGATAGAAGGGGTCTAGTTCTAGGATTTGAGCGAGGCGTAGAAGCTTTTAGATCTTTACCGGAGGATTCTATGTGCTTCGCCGCTTTAACCTTTTCCGCTAAATCTGAGCCAAATAGTAGGTTTGTAGGGGGGCATTGCTCAAGAATGTCTTTAGTGTTTTTGTTCATATATGGAAATATGAACTTTCGCCTTGAAATCGACAGATCATGAAAAAAGGATACTAATATTTTGCCCGCATCTGAGAGGTTTTTGAGCAAATTCTCCCTGCAGTTTGTGGGAAAATTTTCGTTTTCCCGAAGAACTATGTCAAGCCCCCTCCCTAAAGCTACAATCCCGTTGCTGAGGCTACTCTGAAATTTTACGTAAGCGGCATCCTTGGCTTGAATGGAAGAAGGTAGGATTGCCCTTGTTTCCGGATTCAAGGCTGGCGCGGTTAACGCAGAACAATTAGCTGGAGTAGTATAGGTGTCCGCAAAAGCGTTCTGCTCATCTTTTGACAAACCAAAAGCCGCTAAAGAAGTCCAACGAGATGCCAAGGCTGCGTGTAAGTTAGGCGATGAGGTCTCTTTTTGACTAGGATCGTTTCCTAAAATCTCCAGAACCTCCATAGGGAGCTGAACATCGTTTTCAATCTCTAAAACGTCCTCAGAGACCGGGCCCGTTGGTGAAGGAGCCACAACGTTTAAGTTATGGGCATCCGTGTTTGTGTCTGCCGTATTGCTTGGAATACGGGCTACACTGTGACGATCGGAAGCTACTGAACTTGATCTGCTGCGCCTACCGCCCCAGTCACGAATAGTGTCCGCCGTAACGCTCTGGGTACGGGCTGCACTGTAATTCGGTGAACGAGATCTAAAACGTTTAGAAGCGGACCCATCTTCTTCATCTGAAGTAGCGGAAACAGAGCTGCTTGATTTACGGCGTCGAGAGCGACTGCTGTATCCAACTCGACACGCCCTAGTCGCCGAGGAGGAAATAGGAGAGCGGCTCGCCCTTGTTCTAAGTGAAGGTGATGGAATTTCGTTTGTCCTTGCCTGCGAGAAAGTTCCTCGGCGATAGTAAGATTCAAGTTTTTCTAAACGTTCTAAAAGGTGTTTACGAGATAATTTATCTTCTCGCTGTCGGTGTTTTCTTTTAGATTTTCCCATTATCTAAAAAACCTAAATAACTAGGAGGTTATACTTACTAAGTTTCAATTACAAGGTACCTGACGTAAAAACAGAAGCAGCGATACACTTATATGCTTACGCGTAGCACACAAGAAAACGAATGAGGTATTTAATCGAGGTGGCCTGACTGCAGCGTGACGCGGAGAGGGGCGTTTGACCTTTAAAATATTGTGCGTGTAGCGCGAGGATCGCGAACTACATAGTTAAACATTCTGTAACATCTTTGGACTGGACGTAAGATATAATATATTTTTGAAAATAAAGTTTAATGTGATATATGTTGTTATTTATTTCCCGCTAAAACGTTAATGACGTTGACGAGTTCGGTCATAGCGTCATAACGATAACCACTAATTTTCGATGTAGTGAAACATCCGTTTTTCTTCTGGCTTTGAATAGGTCTAAGTACTGCTCAATCAATAAGGTATATGGAATTGGACAATGAAACGAAATAGTACATTATACAGGGCGTTTCAAAAAGAATCATCCGATTTTGTAGGTTTATAATTTGTTTAGACGCCATTTTGACAATAACTGAGCTGGGCGTTGACAGAAGCGCGCTACTGCTACCTAGCGGAAACCACGCGAAACTCGAGAGCTTCCTCTTACTAACAGTACATTGTTCTATCAAATCAGACTTATAGATGAATAGCAATAAATTTTTAAAATCGGATGATTCTTTTTGAAACGCCCTGTATATCAAGGTAGAGAAGTACAGTATTATTATTGCCTGAGCACCAAGATTACATCTCGAGGCGCTTGCGCCGAGGGGTGTAAGGTGCGAAGGCAATAATAGACTTCTCTACCGTGGTATATATATACTATTTTTTTCACTTGAAATCCTCTAAATTAACATATTATATTGATAAGAAAGTGAACGGTTGGACAGAATTTTTTGTTTATTAATTTAACATGTCAATCAAGTACGTAGAAGTACAAGTCAAACAGGCCGTATTTTGTTCTGTCATTGAGATATTTTCAAAGAGTAATTTCGTTCGAATTTTTTCAAAATGTGATAATTTTAGGTATGTAATTTCTCTGGAAATGGCGGATGGTGGCAATTATTCATTTTAGAGAACTTGTCCAAACGTTTATTGAGCGAAATTTCGGGTTGTGTTTTCTAAAAGTGACAGCGTGACAGTTCTCATTATTGACTACTAGTTAATATGTCCACATTATTAACCACTTTGAACAAATGCCGAGAAAGCCTACTTTACAAGTGGAAAAAAGGTTAATAATCATGTCATCAGACGCTAGTAGTGAAAAGAAGTATGTATTATTCATCCAAGTTTATCGTATCACCTTCAAAGTAGATCCGTTCTAAAACAATACGTTTAAGTACCACTCAATCAATAAGGTATAGGTAATTGGCCAATGAAACGAAAAAGTAGCTTTGAATGTCTTCAGCCTTCGGGAACCCGCAACGTACGCATTTTTTAAAGCTAACAGGCCTCTTTGATCGATAATAATACTAATCTAGCAGCGGCTGTCTACCTGCACCAATGTCATATAAGATATCCTGTTCTATAGAGGGATGATATTGAATATAATGATCGAAGGATGTATGAGTAAGGTGCTAATTTTTATTGTGTGTTTATCAGCATATGCTACTATCTACGATACACGTTGTGATTAATAAAACCTTCTTTGTATCAAACTTCCTATGACATCGTCCACTCATCGCTATGCAATCTGTAATGTGCAGTTTTCCTGAGGGTAAGAATGAGCTTTTTCTATTTTTCATCAAAACTTAATAGATGTAATTTTTCAGCTAAAGGAGCGGCCGTGTTATTTGGAGCCACGCAGACGGACTACGGTAGATACCTACATTCATACCTATTCTACGTTTTTAAACATATATTTACAGAACGGGCGCTAAGAGTTTTTATAATGGAGAAATATAGGTCTGTAAGTAATTTTCATGAATCATACCGTATTTTAATTAGCTCTTATTTAGGAAAACGTTGCAGTTCTAAGAGGGTGGGGAGCAATCCCCAACTCAACTAAAGTAAAGGACGGCGCCTACCTAGGGCAAAGATTCCACAAAACCTATTGGGTGTTTTATGTAAGTGTTATCGTTTCAATTATAATGTATACCGCCTGAGCACCAAGATTACGTCCCGAGGTATAAAGAATGTACTATGTATCTGACACGTTTACAACATGCCACAACTCAAACGGGATCCCTCCGCCTTATCAATTTGCTTCGATTATCAAAAAAATTTGCCTGTTTATGTTCCAACTTTACAAAGGCCTGTGAGAATGAATACCTACAAATCAAGAAATTGAAATTTGACAACATAATACATATTGTCGGCATCTTGTCAAGCACATTTATTATTGAACACTGAATTCTTTGCTCGAACCTTGTCTGAAAATGAGAGTATAATCCAACAAAATAGTGTTGCGAGTGATAAAATTCAGTTGCAAAAGGTTGACGCATTTTATGAACAGCCTTCTTGCCTACCATGTTCTAATTTATACTGCAAGCATTCTTTGTATTTTATACTATGTTTATGCTTTATTTAGTCTTCAGCTTGGTTCAAATGTCAGTCACATTTTAAACCAGCCGGACTCTTACAATCAATTCCAGTGTCCTTACCATTCGACAAGGTAGGCATAGACTTATTAGGTCCATTTAGAAAAAGTAAAAAAGGTAACACCATGATAGTGGTCACAACCGACTATGCGACTAGATGGGTAGAAACGAAGGCCTTGCCAAACGGAAAAGCTGGTCCAGTGGCAAAATTTTTGCTAGAAAACATCTTGATGAGACATGGGTCACCCAGATTCTTGCTCAGTGACAGAGGGAAAACATTCCAGTCCGAAATGGTCACAGAACTCTTGAAGCTCACGGGATTCAAAAGCTACTTCAGCACCTCATATCACCCACAATTTAATGAACTTACTGAAAGATTTAATAAAACATTAGCAGAGACATGCTTTCTCTCTATACAATTACTCAACAGACAGATTGGGATCAATATTTATCCATGGTTACTTTTGCCTACAACACTTCGCGCCAGGAGACTACAAGAACCTCACCATTTAACCTAGTGTATGCCAGAAACCCAGTATTACCCACAGAAGCCATGTTAAAGCAGGACACACCCACAGAAGACATTCTAATCATACGAGATCGTGCTTTATATATTCGGAACTTAGCAGTGGAAAATATTCACAAACAACAAGGAAAAGACAAAACGCGCTACGATGGTAAACACCGAACTGTTGAATATGAGATAGGTGATATAGTTAAAATTTTTACACCATATAGAAAAGTTGGTAGAAGCGAAAAATTGTTATTGCGATGGTTCGGACCTTACACCGTTATAGGAAAAAGAGGAGAGGTCTATTATGTAATAAAGATGGGAACAGCACCCAATGCAAGGGTGGATACAGTTCATGTTTCACGTATTTTACCTTACAATGATCCTTGGACTCCGGACGTCGTTGATGGTTCCGACAACGATGATATGCAGTAGGCCAAGAGCAAGATAAGAGGATGGAAGAGTAACTGACACTACATTCCATAGTTCTAATAAACAACTACGGGATGAGCATCAGTTGACGCACCGTCCTCGGATGCAGGTACACCAGCCGTAGTCGTGCAAGATTCCAGAAGCCAGAGAGAATGGGCAATTGCAGAGATTGGAGGCATTTACTTCTAATAAGAGTAATGATTCTAACCTCTCGCAAGTCCCCATTCCAACAAATCAGATGAAGTGACCGCCCGAGCACAGTACTGAAGATCCGACAGAAGGGACAAGTCCTGGATGGCATGCCTGTGCGACTCTTAAAATACGAGTTCCAGGGGCATCCTCCAGTAAGTCTCCATCCCGAAAAACACACCTGAGGAATGTTCAAAAAATTATAAAGTTGCAAGAGACTGGGCATATAGATCAGTTCCACTTGAAATAAGCTATGAACAATAGAAAGCACCCTGTCAAGATATATGAAAATTTAATACACGAGAAGAAGAAAGTAGTGGCATAAGGATTGCCCACGTTCGGTTACGATGAGGTAATAGCAACTCATTGGCACCGAGCGTGGATGAACCCCACGTCACCTATAATAACTCCGAGAAGAAGCGTACGAAAAGAATCCTATAAGAAGAACAGATAAGAAAGGAGAATGTTTAATTGCTTCCCAAAGGAACGATGAACACATTAAAGTTTTTATATTACATGAGTTTATTTTTTTTTTTTTTTTTTTTTATTTTTTTTTTTTGCGCGTCTAGACGGCACTCTATTTTTTTATTAAAGGTGTTCTTTAGGTGACAGACATATCCTTAGGTGACAGATATAATAAAACACAATTTTACTTGTTGGCAGAAATTCCATGCCCTAATACGACATACTGTTTCAGTCCCGATTACATCTGTGACATTCAAGGATTAAGAGGGGTCGCGAACGAGTTCGTGGCTAAAGAGGTCGCGGTACTACACGCGCCAACTATGCGGATGATTCAATGGTTGATAAAACCACCTTACACACACCCACCGGTAGGATGTTACATTACAGTGGCTACTACACCCGCCGTACCACTGGCAACAACTGCCCCAGCGGGTCAAAACAACCAACGACTGGATAACGCAGAACTTTCATGGGCTACAGTGGGACGGGGGGATGACAGAACAGCAAGCGATGAGGAACACCCTGTCGGGCCTGCTGGCCAATAAAGAGGTGGTAGTAGTGGGCTCCCTAAAGAGGGATTTTTTACAATCAATCGCCCCGCTCGCTACCATCCATCTCGGCAATGTACGCCTGTCGCGCAGAGCAGAGAACCACGAGTTGGCATGCCAATGGCATCCGACACGAGGGGCCATCTGTGCGGCAGGGCGTTGTAGAGAAATACATGCTCATCTAGAAGCACCGGTAGCAGGCCTGAGGGAAGCAAGACAGAACGTACGATACATACCCGCCGGAATGGAATCGGACAGCGAAGAGTCGTCCGATTCCGATGATTCTGGGGTAGAAGTTCAATTAAGTTTTTAATTTTTTTTTTTTTTTTATTAAACACGCACTAGGCGTATACATTGCAACTAGTAGGTACTATCTAGCAATTTGTTTTTA